CCTCCGGTCCTGCTGGCTCGCTCACTTCTGTTGAGTTCTGTGGGGGAACGTGAGTACCTCGGGGGCAGTGGTGGACCTGCCTCTTACTAATTTGGGTTACCCTCGGAGGATGTGGGTAATGGGCTAGACCAGCTCTCGTTTGTCTGAGGTTGAAGAGGGGTCCTCGGAAATGCAGGTGCCAAGTAGCTCTCCCAGAAGTCAGCGTCTCTGTGCCCCCATCACACCCTCAGTGTCTGATAGTAAATTTACTGAGTGTATGGCGGAATGCTCTTCTTAGGAGGGTAAAGTGGAAAATGCCACCTTAACCCTTACCTCACGACTGTTTGCTCTGGTTCCCTGGACAGATGACAAGAGAAGCCTGCGAATTCATGATTCAGCAGGGCCGTGGCGCTTCTAACCTGATCTTAGCTCCTCAACTCCCAGGGCCTCATATCAGGCCCTTTGTCATATCAGGGCCCTTTGTCAGCTGAAGGAGCATCTGGGGAATTAATAACCCCATTGTCTCAGAGCCCCTATGTTAGGCCACACGGTAGAGCTGACTCAGTTTGACTGTGGCCAGTCACTTGTTTCTGCCAACTTGAAGATCTCTGTATCCTTTGAGGTCTTTCTGGAACAGTGTGGTGGCCTGGGAAATTCCTGCTTCCAAAGGAATCATGGGGAAAAGAACATTCCTAAGGCCATGGTAGAGCCCATCCAGGGCCTCCTCTGAGTCTCTGGCAGGTCAATGGCAGGTAGGGGATGGGGCTGGGGTCCTTGTGGATGACACAGTAAATGAGCATTTGAGGTGAGGTTCTCTGAGCAGTGCAGTTGTTGAAGTTCCCCGGGAGCCACCACCTCCTAGGGCTCCTGCTCCCAGCTGAGGGCTCCCAGGTGCGGGGAGGACCGTGAATTTGTTTTCTGCCATGCAGACACCTGCAGAACTCGAGTCACGCAGGAGCGTTTGTGATCGTGAGTGAAGAAGCTATTGCCAAGGGCATCCGGAGGATAGTTGCTGTCACAGGGGCTGAGGCCCACAAGGTGAGCGGCTGAGGCTGGGCTCTGAGTCCACGGGGCACTCAGCCACTGTGGGCAGGCTTGGAGGTCCTGCACGCCCTCCAAACGCCCTCCAGTTACTCGTGCCTGGGAGGAGGAAGCCACTGTCACCTGAGACTTGCTAGCTATCTTTTAATCTTTTAAAATGCAGGTAAGCTCTGCCATCACACGTTCATGTTCAGGAGGGAGGCCATGTTTTGCCGTGTTCTCCATGCCCCCGGCACTTCGCCGCCTCTCCCTGGGGGCATGCACTTAGTTTGAGATGCATGGAGCAGGGGGACAATTGCTCGGCGTGGGGACTGGAGCTCATCCCTGACACATGCTGAGGCTTGAGGAGTGGTCATTTCATGGGTGCAAAGGGCTTCTGACTCGTGAGTTCTCGGTCACCCCCAAGCCCAAGATCCACTGGCCAGGTGTGTGAGGAGAATGCTTCCTCCTGGGGCATGAGGCTGCAGACACCTGCTCCCTGAAGGAAGAGAAAGTTCTGATGTTCTGGGGGGGTTTTGTGTCAGAGCGTGCCACAGTTGACAGGCAGAATTGTGAAGTTCAAGGTTCCCTGACCCAGAGTTTACACCTCTGGTTGTCATCCTCACAGGCCCTCAGGAAAGCAGAGAGCTTGAAGAAGTCTCTCTGTGTCATGGAGGCCAAAGTGAAGGCCCAGACTGCGCCGAGCAAGGACGTGCAGAGGGAGATCGCGGACCTCGGGGAGGTAGGGCGGCCTCCCCTCTCGGGTCGTGGTTCTCAGGGCCGTGGGCGTTGGTACTGACCGCCGGCGTCTGGCAGCCTGGCGGAGGGGGCTCCATGGACCCTGGAACCTCCCTGCTGCCCCTGTTGCTGATGGCAGGAGAGCCTCTTCCAAGCACTGGTGGGCACTGGTGTTGAGGGTGTTGGGACAGGTCCTGTGGGTGCCCACTTTCTCCAGGTCTCCTGGTCCCAAGTCACTTTATGACATTTTATGGTTTTGTGTTCTCTGAGACATGGGTTCAATCCCTGGGTCGGGAAGATCCCCTGGAGGAGGGCATGGCAACCCACTCTAGTATTCTTGCCTGGAGAGTCCCATGGAAAGAGGAACCTGGCGGGCTGCAGTCCATGGGGTCACGAAGAGTCAGACACGGCTGAGCAACTGACACTTTCATTTTCTCCTTCTGGACGCTGGTTGGGGAACTTTTCTGTTCGAAGCCAGAAGGGTGGGCTGGGCTGGGCTCACCTCCTAGCTCCTGGTGGTCCAGATCCCAGTGGTATTCCTGGTCTGTTTCCAGGCCCTGGCCACTGCCATCATCCCTCAGTGGCAGAAGGATGAATTCCGGGAGAATCTCAAGTCCCTGAAGAAGATCATGGACGACCTAGACCGGGCTAGCAAAGCTGATGTGCAGAAGCGGGTGGGTCTCGGCAGCATGGGTGGGCGGAGGATTGACCAGCAGAGGCTGCGCAGGCTGCTGTCTGGGGGTCGGAGTCTGGGCCTCTGACCTGAGGCCTCTCTCTGGACTTCCTTCCATGCAGGTGTTGGAGAAGACGAAACAGCTCATTGACAGCAGCCCCAACCAGCCCCTGGTCATCCTGGAGGTAGAGAGCGGCGCCTCGGCCAAGGCAAGCCTGGCGGGCCCCCACACTGCCCTGCGCCTGTCTGCTGCCCGTCTCCTCCCTGCGGGCTCCCCACAGCCCTCTGGGGGCTGAGTGTGAGCCCTGTGGCTCTGAGCCAAGGAGCTGCCTGAGGGCCCCCCCTCCGGGACTGAGTTGGACTGAGCCGTGGCTGGAGAGCTGTGGCTCCTGGAGGTGGATGGCCAGCCTGAGCCCGGGGTGGGCGAGGCCCTGTGCTGAGCCCCCATCCAGGCTCCGGGACCAGCGCCTGCTCTTAGAAGCGGGGGGCGGGGGTGAGGGGCACCCTGAGAACTGAGTCCTGCAAACCCACTGCACTTGAGGAGAGCATGGCCCCCTTTCCCAGGGCCATGGCCTGATGCCAGCTTCTCCCCACAGGCCCTGAATGAAGCCTTGAAGCTTTTTAAGACGCATTCCCCCCAGACGTCTGCCATGCTCTTCACAGTGGATAATGAGGCCGGCAAGATCACATGCTTGTGTCAAGTACCCCAGGTCAGAATGCCCTGCAGTCCTGCTCAGGCAGCCCTGTGCTTGTGGGAGGTGATGTCCATAGCTCTTCTCAAGGACCCTGATTTTTCTGAGTTGTTTGCCAAGACTTGTGTGTGTGTGTGTGTGTGCGTGCGTGTGCATGCAGCCTGTTTGTGTGTGTGTGCGTGCGTGTGCATGCAGCCTGTTAGAGATGCCGTTCTGTTGTCCACCTATCACCTCCCTAGTACCCTTCAGCCTCAGGCCCTCCCCCCTGGCGAATATGTTTAACTGTGCTAGCTTTGCTGCTTGGTGTGAGTAGCCCTGGCTGTGGCACCAGCTGTGTGCTCTCAACCCTGGCAGCATCAGGGCAGGATTGGGCGTCTGGCTCCAGCCCTCTGCTTGTCTGCCTCAATCCCGTCCCCTGTGCTGACTCCCACTCCACCTTCCTGTCTTCTAGAATGCAGCCAACCGGGGCCTGAAAGCCAGCGAGTGGGTGCAGCAGGTGTCAGGCCTGATGGACGGCAAAGGCGGTGGCAAAGATGTGTCTGCTCAGGCCACAGGCAAGAACGTGGGCTGCCTGCAGGAGGCGCTGCAGCTGGCCACCTCCTTTGCCCAGCTGCACCTGGGAGACGTAAAGAACTGAGAGGGAAGGGCAGGTCCGCCAGGAGGCATCTCCCCCGCCCTGACCCAGACACATCCGTCCAGCCAGGAGCTCTCCTTCCACCACAAGGACGTTTGAATCATGGGACCTTTAAACAGCCCTGTCTGTCCTAACCCAGCAGTAACCGGAACTTAACCTGGGAGCCAGCCTATGACTCAACGCCCATGTTACATTTCTGCCCTGAGCACATCGGCGCCATCCATCTAGAACTACTACCCCAGGATTGCTTTTTCATCATCACACTTGTGTCTGTAGAGAGTTCTTTGCAGACTCAGTGCTGTGGGCCTCAAGAGAGGAATCATTTTTGCTGCAGAGAATAAAAAGACCATGTGCAATACTTGATATGATACTGCCACGTGACTTTTTTACTCCTCCTCCCCTCTCACCCTCCCCCCCATAGGTGTCCCCAGGATGATAACCCGTGGTTCCCTGGGTGTCTGTAGACTAATTGCTGTGGTTCCAACTGGTTTCTGGTTGCAGTCCTTGCTGAGTCCAGCCCCAGACCTCTGAACTTTGAGAATAATGGTCCCTAGATTTGCATCAAAACATCTGTGGGGATGGCCCACAGAATGGGGTGAGATAGAGGAATTCATTATTCAGTGGAAGATAGTCCGTGGGGTTGTTGGCAACAGAGGCTTCATTTTTGGTGCTTCTTAGAGGAGAACATTCTCATAAGTCTCATATGTCTCTTCTCCTGATGTATAGGTTGGATGTGAGGTCAGAGACATTCTTTGGTATAGGAGGTTTTTAGGGAACATCAGTTGCCTCCTCCCACACCCTAGACTGCCAGGTCATTCCAGGTTTCAGGACCTAACTTGGACGGTGAAGATGGAGACTCTGACCTGGTTCTGTCCATTCACCCCAGTCTGAAGACAGCTGGGTTTGGGAGCTGTAGTGTGTGGTACTTAGTTGTGCCCTCTCTAGCTGACTTCAAGTCCCCTGGGTGCAGCAGGCTGGCCCTGAATCATTCTCAGCCCTGCTGACTTGGAGCAGAAAAAGCAGGTCTGTGCCGACCGAAGACAGAGACCACAAGTCACAAGGCCTGTGGGTGAGGAAGAGGAAAAACAGGAAGGATGCTGAGGCCCTGGCTGCAAAAAGCACAAGTCAGGTGAGGAGTGTGAGGGAGACAAAGACCTCACACAGTCCGCAGCGGGGGAGAGAGTTCCAAACGTGCACTCCACAAGCTGTGCCAGCCAGGGCACTGAGGACCAGAGGGACCTCCTGGGCAAGGCGGCGGGGGAACATGTATACGGTTGTGTCACTAGTGCAGGACCAATTACAGCTTCACAAGTGAGAGGAAGAAGACCCACGCCCTGGGCTTGCCCTGGCCCGAAGGCTAGAGGTCAGCGGGGCCGGCCTAGATGCCACTTCTGCATGCCCGTCTGATCCACCCAGGCACCCCGCTCTGGCCGTCCTCACAGCGGCCCGGGGCTCCGCGACGCGCGCCGTCCCCCTCCGGAGCGGCAGGGGGCGGTGTGGCNTGGCGCCCGCGCCCACCTGGCTGCTGGACCCCACGCTGCTGGAGGAGGAGCGCGCCGCCGCCGGCCTCACCGTGGCGCTCATGCCGGTGCTCAACCAGGTGGCCGGGCTGCTGGGCAGCGGGGAGGGCGGCCCGACCGAGAGCTGGGCGGAGGCCTTGCGCCTGGGGCTCGAGGGCTGCCAGCGCCTCTACCCCGTTCTCCAGCAGTGCTTGGTGCGGGCCGCCCGCCGGAGGGGTGCAGCCGCACCCCTCTGAGCCAGAGACCCGAGCAACGATGGACTCCGAGGACCGAGCCACCGCTGCTGCCACAAGGACCCGCGCCGTCGTCCTGCAGACGGCGTGCGCGGAGCTGAGAACTGGCCGTCGTCCTGCAGACGGCGTGCGCCGAGCTGAGAACTGGGAGCATCGGAGAGGATCTGCCGAGGCGTGCTCAGAATAGCCGTGTTGGTGTGATTCTTTCCAGACTGCTTCGTTAAAGAAACCTTTCTAATTGAGTTGACTCCCAGCCACGACCCAGTTGAAGGAACCTGCCAGTGCATCTTGACTCCTAAGTTGGGAAGGACTTCCGCTGGACTCATCGGGAAACCTGGAGCTGTTGTCCTGCAAGGGATGGACCCTATGCAGGCCAGCCGGGGACTCTCTCCTGAATAACTGGGCTGCTTTTCAGAGCGGGGACAAGGGGGCTGTGCCTTCCACGTACGTCTGAACCCAAACAAAAACGCTTATATCTGAAACATTCTTCTGTTGTTTTTGGTACCGACTTTAATGAGTAAGGCTCTTCTGAGCTGGGGAGTGTGTTCTCAGGGCTTGGGACAAGCATTTTCTTTAGTGTGTTCTGGTGTCGCTGGTCCACCAGCGAGAGGGCACTTGAAATGCCAGGAGTGAGGGTTTCTGGATGCTGGAGATGGAGTCTGGCCATTCTGTAGGGCAGAGGGGGCCTGTCTGACCACGAGGGTGGGCTCCGCCCTGTGTGGCTCCTGAGCCCTGCGCAGGTTTGTGCTCAGGTCTGAATTGGCAAAAGGGCCGCCCTGGGTCCTCCCTGCACCAGCTTGGTGTGACCTAAGCTTGTGTCTCAGGGGCCTGCTCAGCTCTAGGAAAGGCTGGCTTGAGGCAGCTGAGAGACCAGAATGAGGCCTGGGGACCACACCAAGAACCCCTGACCGGGGGAAAGATACAAACTTTATTTGCCCCCAGTGACATTATATGTATTTCCAAAGCAGGTCTGAAATACATAGAATCACAGCAGCAAGAAGCAAGGTAAGAACGGTAAGCCTGTGGACACCCAGACGGAACTGGGGGCTTTGAGAGGGGAAGAGAGCTGATGCTGCTCTGGGAGGCGGGCATCCAGCTCCGCTTACAGCATGAGATGGTGTGCTGGCGCTGGGCAGCTGCGGGCCGCCCGCCTTCCCTGCAGTACCTAGACTGCCATCTGGACGAAGCTAAAACCAGTACTAGGGGAGGGTGCCTGGCTGCTCTGGCTGAGCCATGCCTCCATTTCCATTGCCTTTGCTCCAGGATGGGTGGCATGGGTGCCACTAAGAGACCCTCGAGAAAACACTCAAGGAAAGGACCGTGCCTGGAGCTGCTGAGCCTGGAGGGGTTCCAGCCTGCTACTGACAGCCCTCCTGGTCTGATGCCTGATTCTTGACCTGTAGGAGAAGCAGAAGCAGGACCCTAGCACAGAGGGCCAAAGTGCAGTGAGGCTGGGAAGGGACCGTCTGCTAACAAGTCCCAGTCTCCAACCCCCGCCTCCCTTTCCGGGCAGCTCTGGCATCTCAGTGCTACTGTAGATTCTTCGTGAACCCAGAACCACCAGACACATGGCATTTTGTCCACCCAGCCCAGTTTTCCTAGATGTGATTCCATCTTGGGGAGCAGTAAGGGTCCCCTGGCCCAACAGGCCAAGGGGCAGCCAGAGCGGGGCAAAGAAGAAAGGAAGCTCCTTACTGCTAACCCTGCAGCAGCCCAGTCCTGCTGGGAGGGTCCTGAAAACAGCGGGTGCTTGGCCCACTTCAGGACTACCAATGGGGCGGAGGCTATGGTACCATACGGAACACTGGGGCCCTTGGAAGCTGCACAAAAGGCTATTATCAGATTCAGGTTTGGATTTTTCAGCCCAGGAAGGTCTGTGTGCTTCGGCTTCCGTGGGGAGCCGTGGGGACTCCATTATCCATTGGGGACAATGCAAGGGAATTAGGAGGGGAAAAAATAGGACAGGACCCTATCTTCCAGACATTGCCTGTGACAGAGGTCAGTCGCCTACCTGCAGCCGCTGCTGTGGTCTGCACAAACAAGAAGCCAAACACAAGGAGGGTGAGGATGGGGGAGATGCCTGGCCACTCACCGCGTCCTCCGGGTCTGTGTGCTCCTGGGAGCCATCCGCCTCCAAAAGGGCCCTCGGGCCTCTGGGCTCCTGCCTCGGTTCGGTGGTTCTGCATAAGGACCCCTGACTCCCAGAGCCCCTGTTCGGTTCACAGACCTCTGTCCCTAGACAGGGACAGTCCCAGTCAGAGGCCAGGTCTGAAGGCCCCAGCTAACCCCAAAGAGGCCACTCAATGTGCAGCACTGATCTCAGGTCTCAGCACTGGGAGAGGACAAGATGGGGTGGGCTGAATGAGACACAGCCCTGGCTCCAGACAGCTCCTGGGTGGGTGAGGGGGCCACTCCCGGGAGGAATGGGGGGAGTGCACCCGGGGAGGGTGAGGAGGGGCCCTGCGGCCAGGGAGAGCCCGAGGCTGGACCCCGGGTGCCTTCAGCTGTGGGAAAACCTGGCGCCTGTGGAGTGCGGCCTTGGGGGCCTGACCTGGAAGCTGGTCCCTCCGCTGTTCCATGAGTTCCACGCGCTGCAGCAGGCGGTCCACCTGGGCCTTGATGTGGCTCAGCTCGGCCCTGAGGCAGTGCAGCTCCTCGGTCTGGACTGGGGGGCGGGGGTAGAGGGCGCTGCTGCTGGGACCTCTAAGCCCACCTCCCTGCTGAGGGCCTCCCAGCTCCCCACTACCCTGCCAGCGAGGACTGTGCCCCCTCACTCACGCTTTATCTCGGGGGGCAGCTGGCTCTTCCTGGGGGCCCTGTGGGGACTGAAGCGGCCCTTGGCCCCCGGGCCCAGGTGGGGCCTCCGGATCCTGACAGGCACATGGTGGAGGAGGGGAGGGACCCCCTGGTGTTCGTACACCCTGTGGGGACAGGACAGAGGGAGTCAGGCCACCAACCTCCCCTGCGCCCAGAGGCCCGCCCTGCAGGACCACCCACCTGCAGGCGCCATCTTCCCAGTGTAGCTGGTAATCCAGGCTGTAGCTGCTGCTGTAATAGAAACAGGGAGAGGGTCACTGCCCGGGGCCAGAGTCCTTGCCTAGACGCCAGTTTAATTTGGGGAAACAGGTTTGCAGCTTTTCCTTAGAATCCCAGGGTTCTTCACCAAAAGAGCCTCTTAGGCACTTGACCAAGGTCACTTTGGGAGACCACAGCAAACCAGCTTCCCTGCCGCTGGGGTCTGAACGGGGCACCTTGCAGGTGGCTCCCAGTGGCAGGAGGGGCAACTGCCCGCAGGCCTCTGGCCAGCCAGATCTGGGCCCTCCGTGGGCTCCTCTGGCTGACCCAGGCACTGCTGGTCTTAGTCTGGCTCTTAGTCTGGCAAAGGATGAAAGGGAAGAGTTAAGTCAGGGCCCAAAGCTGTGGAGGGACTACAAGAGCCTTTACTCCTGTGTGGGAATGGCTGGGATGCGGGGCCAGACTGGCAGGGTGAGCGCCGAGGCCCGGCCACCTTAGCTGCGGTCCAGGCCCGGTGAGACCCGCGGTCATGCGCCGTGCCCCACCCCCCACCCAGGGAACCGGTGCCTGGGAGGGGACTGGAGGTGGGCCCTGAGGTGGGGCTGGGCCCAGCCTGGGCAGGAAGGTCCCCAGGGGCTAACACCCCTGAACTTCAGGGCAGCTTGAGGTTTCCGTTGGAGCAAGAGGGGCGCTGGGGTGGGGAGCAGGGGGCTGTGAGCCAGGTTCAAGGAAGTTTCTGAAATAACCTTCTGGGGCCCTGCGCCCAGGAACGAGGGGAGAGATCGGTGGGAGCCCCGGGGCATTCAGGGGACATTCGGAGGGAGACCTTCGCCTTCATCGCGATGCCCCCAGGCCTGTGGATGAGGTTTCCGGCCGCCCCCGCTTTGCCTTCTGGCCTCAGGAAGTCCGGGTGGGCGGCCCGGGAGCCTCGGGACGCTGCTGATCCCGGGGGTGGGAGGCCCTTCCTGGGAGAAAGGGGAGAAGGGGGCGGCAGGGCGGGGTGCCCCGCTTCCGGCGCCACGGGGGCCAGGACAGAACTCGGAGTTTCGGGTCTCAGCCAAGCGCGGCCCCTCGGGGAACCTCCTTGCTGGTGCGGGCCCTCGACTGGGATGCAACTCCGCTCCAGAACGTAGGGGAGGGGAGCCGGGCTGGCTGAAAGACGACTACCGAGCTAGCCAAGGGCAGATTTCACCGAGGCATTGGTGGTTCAGTGGTAGAATTCTCGCCTGCCACGCGGGAGGCCCGGGTTCGATTCCTGGCCAATGCAGAAAGCTAGTTGTTTTCTTTTTCCCCCCCCCTTAAAATCACTTTCTAAAATACCTAAAAATGACTAAGTAACAGTGATTCACTGACTGTTGAGTACAAACTTGCGAGCTACAGGAGTTGAGACAGAGAGAGTTGAGTTTGGGGGTTAGAGGTTAGGCTGCAGCTTGCTGCAGGTCGAGGGCCTGGGGTCATCCCTGCTCTGCCCCCCACCGCCCCCACGCCCCTAGTTTCCACTAGGGTTTGTAGCCTTGCCCCTCCTGGGGTCCACAGCCCCTTCTGTCCCCTGGTCTGGGCTAATGATTACAGTCTGTAGGCTTCCACTTCCCATAAAAAGAGAAATAAAATGCATCGTCGGAATGGTGCCGACGGCAGAGATCAGACCTCAGGGCCAAAGGCCAGGGAACATGGGGCAACACTTCTGCCACAAACCTTTCCCTCTAAGTTGACAGATGCCGTGTTGAGACCCAAGGCACATGACTTGGACTTGACCAGTTCTCGCAGAGAAGGCATCCAGCACCTCGGGGGCCGCCAGGACCCCACCCCGCTTTGGGATGTTTTCCCACAGTCTGCTGCCTGACCGCACCCCACCAAGGGCTTCATTCTCCCCACTGGAGACACGTGGGCCCCAGGCCTTGAGTGCCTGGCACCACTGAGTGAAGTCTGCACTCCTGCAGGAGAGCTGGCGTTGCTCCCAGCGCTCCTGTCTTCCTCCACAGGCACCTACAGGGTGGAGGCCGAGCCTGCTGGGCGAGGGGCTGGGAGGC